CGAGAAGACAGGGTATTTAGGCCTTGGCAACTAGAGGTAAGCTCTGCCTTCTTGTTGCAGTTGCCATTGCCGCATTATTAATATGAAGCGTGGGCGACTGCGTGGGCTCCTTTTACGCAGTCTGATATTGGTTTTTGCTGCTGTTGCGGCTCCCGCTGACACATGGTACACATGGTGACTGGGTGTCCGACTACGAGTGGCGTTTTATGGCTAGGCTGTGGCTCCAGTTGCCTTCAAGTGGCCTGGCATGTGAATTTATGGCAAACACGGAAATGCGAGCCGGCTGCCAGCGACGCCTTTGATGGCAGCTAGCGTTCGCAATGCAAGCGCTGATTATGAAATGTGCCTCATTAAAAAAAAAAAACACCCCCAGTTGCAGCTGGGGCCACAGTTGATGGCTGAAACTGTGACCTAATTCGCTGCGGCTGTCTGACTGTCCGTTTGTCTGTCTAAAAAGTTTGTCGCATGCTATTTTCAGGCTGCGGTAAAAACATCATCAACACTCGCAATTTGTCCCAATCTCCAAGTGGGCGACTGTCACACGCCTCACAAATATTTTGATATGCAGCTGTCGCTGCCAATGCCTTTGGCCAAAACCAAACCAAAAACACACACACAAATTGGCAGCACACAATTTTTGCCACAATATTTTTACAGCTGTGCGGGAGACTCTAAATATTTGGTTGGGCCATATATAATTGAAAGCCGTGCGGCATCAACTTATTTAGGGCCGAGAGGCGTAGATTTTCCGCAGCAATAAATAGGCTAAATATAGAAATGCACTTTAATGAATTCGACAAAATGAAGAATGACAATAAGGCTTATAGTAAAAATACCAATATTGAGCTGGGGGTAAATTTAATTTATTTTTATATAAATAAAATTTACAACAAATAAGAAAAAAATATTGTTTGGGTAGCTATTTTAAGAAACTTCCTTGTAGCCCATTTTGCCATCGACTCTTAACCCCGTTGCGTAGCTTAAACTTGTTGAAAATTATAAGCTTCAAGAAATGAAAAAAGTACAATTTTCGTGTACATATGGTGTATTTTTAAGGATAGAATAAGATGTCTAGAATTGCTTTGCAACATATTAAAGTATCGACACATTCTACTGCCAAGCTGGTAGCTAAACGCTTGCAGGCCAATTTTGACCCGATTCTGTCAGCAAAATATCAAAAGGCATACAACATAGTCAGATAAGTGAGTGTGCGGCACCTTCTTGCCAACAGCAGAAGTAGTCACAGGGCTAAGGGCTAAGGGTTAAGGGTTAAGGGTTAAGGGCCAGGGGCCATTCGCATGGCGGCACATGGCACATGGCACGTCTTCCGCTTCCTTCTTCTGTGGCTATTTAACACTTTCATATTTCGTCGTCAGGTTGTTTGCCGCCTCGGGGCAAACTTTTACTTTGCTTCTTGCTTCACAAACACACACATATATATAAATATATGTATAGTTACCTGGCGCTAGCCGCGCGCTTATAAATTTTGTCTGCCGGCGTCTGGCAAAGCCGCTGCCATATTTGTGACTCCCCTGGCGACCATTTTGGGCATGACAGTGGCACGGTTAGGGGTTTGCAATAGGGAGCAGCAGTCGCAGCAGGAGCTGTAGCGCGTTTTCAGCTATACCCATTGAAAGTTGGCTAAAAACGAGGGTAGCTTGCAGCTGGGCAAGTGTATGTAACAGGCGGGGGGAGACAACTTTCAAGCAAATCAAATTTGATGAAGTCACGGAATCTTGAAGGTCTCATTTAGAATCCGAGAATGTAACTTCAGGAATTTATGGGCTGTCGGCCATGTCTAACTTTATATGGAGTCCAAATTTTGCATATCTCGAGTTCAATGTATAGCTTAATTTAATTTAACATTGTCCCAGCCAAAAGGTTTACGAATGCTGCTCTCAGTTAACTAGAGGGTATCTGCTAGTCGGACTTCGTCGACACGTTCACTTTTACTTGTTTCGACTTTGGAACGTGGCAAACAATTTATCAAGCAAAATATGCACTTGAAATACACGTAACTACAAGTACAACATTGCGCCCAGCACATTGCACGCTGAGTGCATTTTTATTCAATTTTTAGAGAACTTCCGCTCTCCAACCTCCCCTCCCTACCCTCACCCGTTTCATCATACCCCTGTTGATAAAGTACGGCTCTGAAATGAATTCGTAAGTGTCAGAAACTTGGTATGTGGCCCAGTTGCGTCAACGAATTTAGTGGCAGCGATATTTAAAGGGATTTAGTTTAGGCATTTGGATATTCGCAGATATTGCAGTAAGCCCCAATCGAGCCACGTGCAAAGCCCCTTTTGAGGGAGGCGGGACACATATTTTAAAAGATAAATATTCAATTTAAAGTTGATGTGCTTGCAGCTTATCGTATGTTTACTCGCACATATTTTTAGTTTAATTAACAATTTTAAGCATGAATTTTGTTTTATAAAATGCCGTTAACTGCAGTTTGTTGACATATTATACCTTTGGCCGGGGCGGGGCTGGGCGGTACGTAGGGATAAATGGAATGCCGGGTGCGGTTCGAGCGGTACTCTCTGCAAAAATATGTTTTCCATGTTTGCAACAAAAGCGTCAACTTTCAGCTCAACGCCAATTAAAAGTTAAATTATTCTAAGTATTTTGATTTTGTCAAATGGCCGCTTGACATGCGATGCTCCCCCTGTCGGGCGCCAGCTGAACTACCACAGCAATGTGAACATTTTCATTTTTCACGTTGCGTATACTTTATTTATAATGTGTGCGCTTAATGTACAGCACAGCACAGCAACCAGATACATTTGTATCTTCAAGATACAAACGTTTTGCTCAATTTGCCTGGCTGGCTGCACACATTAATCCTCGCCCAAACACACAAACACTTCCACACACACACACACACACACACTCGTTTTTATTGATTTCCGTTGCGCTAATGCAAACCAATAAATCTGCCGAATGAGTCGATTTGTAGGTTCGTCTCGTCGAGTGCCTGCAATTTTCGGGACTAATATCGGGGGTCAGACAATAACAATGAACTGTTGCTATTGTTTGTTATTAGTTTTTATGGCTCGAATTGTGGCCTTTTGGGGGCCAGCTACGTAATGTAATTTGTCTCCATTTTTATCATTAAAATAAAAATTAAAGCTTTTCTGTATTGTCTGCGCGTGCAGCCCGTAAATGTGTGCAGCATTTGCGGTCTATATATCATTATGGCTATGTGTGCATGTGTGTGTGCATGTCATTTGTTTTGCTAGTTTTATTGCTTGTAAACATTTATCCTTATTGTTAGCCATTTATAGAGATACACAGCCAAAGCGAATGACATGTTTGTGCAATTGTAGCGCATGTTAAAACCTTGCCCAGCAGGCAAATTGTGTCACAGTCGCCATAGTCAATCAATACGTTACTTAATTCATGTGTTTATAGCACCCTGAATTATGCTAATTACATTATCGCTAATGAATCGAGTGTGAGCCGCGTACAAGCTAAAACTGAAACTTAATGACACCCCAGAGGCACATTTAATTACCCCGGGGCCGCACATTACCAATCGGAGGCCTCTTCTCCAAAGTTTGCATGTTCGAAATGCATAAAACTGTCTATGGGTACATAACTAAACATATGTGAACAAGCGTACGTAGTTGTACAAGCTTTTCGGCAACACGGAAATGCTTTATAGCTATTAAAAACGACAATATACAATTTTGTGATCTCCGTGAGCACAAAAAAAAAAAAATGGAAAAGTATATACAAAAGAAAAAATTAACCCACAGCATGTTTTCAAAATTTTATATATATTCTTTTTATCTCTTTGAGAGAAAAACAATTTGAAATGGCAATTGACATGTGGCCAATCCGAAAATCGATTTCGCCCGAAAATTGTGAGACAGACAAAACCAATCGACATCAGTTTCGCAGCTCAAACAAAACCTAATAGAGAAAGTTTTTGGGCGAACTTTGGATTTGTGTATTTAACTACTTGAACTAGTTATATTTAACAAAAGTTTTGTACAACTCGATGAAATTGAGCAGAAAACGCTGCGTGGAATGCTTTTGTGTGTTTGTGTGTAGCACAAATTGTCAATTTGTAGGGAAAGGCAATTGGAATTAAACGTCAAACAAACACACAAATTTGTGAGGGGGAGGGGGTAAGGGGTGGGGCATATTCGCTAGACAACAGTTAAATGCCGTAAACATCCCATGTACTTACATATGCAAAAGTATTTGTGTAATGCCCACGATAAGCTCGTGTATTGATCCACTCGCATGTGTTTGTTTCTATTAGGAGGGGGTTAGCAGAGGGGTGTGGGAAGGTAAAAGCTGTTAACTATACCGGTGCGCCCCCCTCCCCGTAAGCGCCCCTCTCTAGTGATTTTTGTGGACTTTTAGTGAGCTGCGCGACGCCATTTTGGAAAATTTTCATAGACCATTGGACAGAGTCTAAACCAATGAAGCGACAGTCGAAAAGCATGAGTGTGCGAATCTGTGTGTGTGTGTGTGTATGTTGTATAAATACAAATGCGCCTCAGTGCCAATAATGTAGACACGAGCCAGCGGAGAACAGGGGTAAACGTGCTACTTGACAGCTACAAACACGGTAACAATTGTATGTGAAATACTTTGCATAATTTGACTAACAATTAAGCTCAAGTGCACACACACAGAACAGCACGTACCTAGCATTTACAAACAAACACTCACACGGACATACAGGCACCAATACACAAACAAGACGGAGAGGCGACATCAACGAGCTGCGAGTTAATGAAGCACTGCAAGTTTGTTAATTTCTGTTGCCTACATTCGGGAGCAGCAAGAGTCAGCGAAAGCGACTTTCCATTTGGTAATTTGATAGCCTCATTAAAGTCATGTGCAAACATTGCGCAAAATCAACAACAAAATTGCAAATATTTTGTAGCATTTTATTAGAACTTTATAGTTTGTTCTATAGAATAAATTCCTTGTACTTAAATCGTATTAAATAACTACATATATATTTTTGTTTGCAGATTTTTCTAGAGAGAGAGCCGCCGATAAAAACAGGTAAATAACTTGTGTATCTAGCTCAACTTTGCAATACCAGATATTGTAGAAATTTACTTCAAATATCCTTTGTTAATAATTGGTAAAAGCGGGTATATGTAATTTTTGGTCACCAATTTTGGATACAGTTGTTTGTATATTTTATAGAAACTTATTGATTTTTCGATAAATATTGCTTTTGTTTCTCTCGTACATTCACAGACCCCTTAGCCTATATCCCCCTTACTTCTACAAATTTTGATTACAGGGTAACTGTTTGTGCTGCACTCTTAGCTCGTCCACACTTACTTATTTTATTTTACAATATTTTCTTTGGTTTTTGTGTGGCCAATTCTTTGACAAAACTCGTATTACACAGATGCTGCCTGCTGCCTGCAGCCAGCTGCTTGGTGCACCCTGCTGGTTGCAATTTGCCAAGAGTATTTTCAAATATGCATTTCATATTCAATAAATCGCACTTAAATGAAGCCTTTTTGTTTTTACATGTTTGCGCAGAGAAATATTTGCTGCCTTCATGCAAGTGGTAACCAGTTTCCGCTTGCTGTTTGCCTCTTGCCGCCTGCAGTTGCAATTGATTTTACAAATTGCAAATACATTTGCCGAACAGTGCAAACAAAGCACTAAATTGCTGTCTGTCTGCCTAGTGCAGTCGGAATCAAAAGATTTTTAATAAATATTTTTCATATTTATTGATATGTCGATCCAAATGAAGCCCACATGCAAATTAATTGAAATTCAAAATTCTTTTCTTTCACAGGCTTCGAAGAGCTTTCTGCAAATTGCCAGCTTTGTGTAAGAAATTGTTGCCTATTATAAAGTATTTTTCTGAGAGTTTTTTGCCCCTGGCTTTTTTTTTTGTTAATTAGCAAGCTTACAAGCCGGTGTGCCCGCTACCCCAATATTCGTGGGCGTGGCATTAGATTTTGTATGCCAATAAAAACAGAAAAAAATAAAGGCAAAGCTCGCACCGTTTACTTTGTAATGCAAATCGTACGCAAATTCTGCCCGGCGCTGCTAGAGAAAATATGAAATAAAGTGATCCCGGCCAGAGTCCCGCACCCGCACCTATAACCAGACTCGGCACCGCCCCAACCCCACCCCAATCCAGACTCTAAGCTGGCAGCATTACTTTGAGAGGGTTTGTATGCACAGAAAGGGGTTATGCAAAGTCAAGCAACCTGAAAAAGACACATTTGTGATGCAAATTTGCGAGACTCTCGAGGCTGGCACCCAACATTGGTTGCTGACTTTCTATGCCAACGTGTAAATCAGGCTAAGTACGTGGCCTTTTTGGTCTTTTAGCTGCCATCGCAGTGCTTTGTAGTTGCGCTTGCTATTGCCGTTGTCCTCCTTGCTGTTGTTGTTTTTGTTGGTAGATGTTTCTCAGCTCAATAAAAAAAACAAGCAAAAGTTCTCTGGTACTGAGTGCTCGACTAGGAGATACCCTGAACCCAAAGTCGGGCTGCCTCCAAGTATTCTAACTTGTTCCTGCACTATGGATAGGAAATGCATGCACGAAAATCTGCATACCAAAGTCTCTGCGCATAGTTCTTAAAATTTTTAAACATTGCTTAAAACTCGTGGCTCAATATTATATTTAATGCAATTACGAATATTAAAGGATATATCAAAAAAAAAAAAATTGTAAGCTTCTTCTGACTAAATTATAGGAGAATAAATATTTCGTTCTACAGACTAACCTACAGAAAGGCATGGCACAGTTGACTCACCTCAGCCTTTTGATCAATAATATACATACAAATAATTATTTGTTTGGCATTAAATATATATAACCTTATAGAGCCAGAGTCACTTCCTCCAGCCTGTTACATACATTTGCACAAAACCAACATACCCTTTTTGTGCCATTTGCAGTGTATACAAAAATATGCAACAATTTTTGCGTTCGCACCAGTGTTTGCCCAACTTTGCAAACGGGTTTTTAATATGTGCCTTGGCAAGCAGCAGCAGCAGCAGGTGAATCGCAGTCAAAGCTTGTTTACACGGCGCAAACATTTGGCCGACATATGCTCTGCGAATCGCTTTGCTGGCCACGGAATAATTACATATGCATGACATGACAGTCAAAGCGAAAGCCAAAGCGTGGGCGTTACCAATATCCACTGAATACAACGATATAGTCTATATGTATTTCTATATATATAACTATGTACAATTTTGCAAGCTATTGAAATTGCGCATACGCCACGTTGCGGCCACGTAGCGAGTGGGGGAGGGGAGGCACGCCAGCCAATTGTTGTTTTAAATTAATTAATTTCGTTTTCATTAGCAGCAAAAGCAGCAAAAGATAACAACAACAACAACAAAATGCAAAAAAAAGAACAACAACAGCTTTTGTTTTTAATTTTATGCTTTCATTTGCCATTATTTTTACGCTATTTGGCAATTTGGCGCCGTTGTTGCATTTAAAGCGATTTTCGCACCACTAATTATTATTTAAATTTTGATATGCACCAAGCACCCAGAGCGAACAAATGGGATTATTTTAATAAATAAATGCATGTGCAAAATCAAGAAGTTAGCAATGCACACAACATAAAAAACATTGCGCCCAATTAACGGCTTACAATGGCACCATATATATTTGTGTAACAGCCAATAGGGTTACTTTAATCCTAGAATCATTTCGTAACAGCCCAAAAGTTGTGCGAAAATTTAAATTTGTTGTTAAAGTCAGCTGCAGTCATGTGATAGTGTAAACATTTAAGAATTTTGTACTCAAATTGAGTACCAAATGTGATCTTTATTCAAAATTACTTAGACTGAAAATATATTTTCTTTAACTTAATCAGTTTCTGCTCGAAACGCGAATGTATTATTAATATGACCCGAGCCCTGAACTCAATTAATTTCCCCTTAAAAAAGCTAAAGCGAAAGCGTGAATAGTTTTTGTCTATTTATATACAATATATACAAATATCTAATTCTCTTTAGATTTGTAGTAAATCGCTAAAATTATTTTTAAAATGAAGTCATATTATTAAAGCTTTTGCAAACAAGTATATATATATGAATATTTCTAATGGTCTTAAGATTTTTGGATAATCAGACACATTTAAATCTAAAATGAAGCCGTATTATATATGCCTTTTGCATATATATGACATTGCAAACCTAGGATGTGGCCAAAACCTGGGCTTAATGGTCTTAAAACCCGGTTAAGCAATACAACCTTATTTGGCTCGGAGCCCTGCTTCAAACAGCTTTCAAAAGTAGAATCGTTGGCTTATAGAACACAGTCTGTTTAAATATTGAATGACATTTATTTTAGGGTAGACTTGCTTCGGCTTTGCCGCAGCTAACATTAAAAAATCGGCCAAATTTTTTTGCTGCGCCCAGTCAATTGCAATTATTTTTTTTTATCTCTTTGCCAATTGGCGTTGTCTGCCTCGCATTGTTTATAAACTCATTTCGCACTGTAATCCACCCAATTGTGTCTCCCCTCCCCACCATTTGCCCGGATTGCTAGCATTACAATGTAATTACAGTAAATGCAACTTTGTCTGTGCTGCAAACTGCATGGAAAATTGCAGCCAAAAATGTGGCAAGCTGCGCTGAAGGGGGTGAGGGAGAGGGGAGGGGGAATTTTCCTGCTGCGTAGGCGAAAATTTGCGCGAGCAGCTCCACACTTTACGCATCGGCGCGAGTTGCCGCTCGCCAGTTCTGTTGGCAGATATTTAAAAGCGGCCAACAACAAAGTGAAATTTTAATGCAAACTAATGCAAAATCTTTCGATATAAAACTCAACAGCACAACAGGCCCACAAGCAGCGGCAACAACAAAATAAATTGAAAAGTAAAATGCAAAGTGCGCGCCGCGCATCCTGTTCGCAGCCAAGACAAATGAGTCTGCATCAATCTTAATTAATTATTTAAACGCAGCGGGCATGGAAATGGCTGCCACGGCATTAAAGTAGTGTCTGCGCCTCTGCAGCCAGCTCGGCAGCTCGCCAACTCTTGTCTCTGACTCTGACTTGGAAGCCACAGCTTTTGACTGCTGCCTCGTGCCTTTTGCCTGTTGCCTTTTTCCATTTGGTGTTGTGCTGTGCTTTTTTGTGTTGCGCGTAATTAAAACGAAAGCCTTTTGATATTTAAATTATTTTTCATAAATTGCATTGCAACAGCTAAAGCAACAGCAACGACAGCTGCAGAACAGGAATAAAATTCAGGCCAAATCGAACGCCATGTACCCTTACTTAATAGCTCTTTAATGATTACACTTTCATTATTTGGCTGTAAGTCCAAAAGAAAGTTGAAGGTGTACTAAGCGCAGTTTGTGAAGTTTACTTTCCACAACCATGAACCAAGCCTTGAGCTCAAAGTCTGAAACGCATCCTACTCTATGTAAAGATTATGCTTTAGGTCTGCATTTATACTAAGTATTTATTTATTGAGCTGTAAAACCAAAACAATTTTAAGGATGGACTCGATAATCACAGTTCGTAAACTTTCTTACCCTTATCCATAAGCTCAGCCTTAGGCTCAGTGCCTGAATCGTATTCTATTCTAGGTAAAGATTCCGCTTGGGGCCTTGCTTTACACTTAGAGTAGATACAGATACATTTGTATCTTAAGCTTCTTTCAGAGCATTTTTGCGCATATGCACTAGCAAAAAAAGTGTATTAAACGCTTCGACATTCAGTTGGCTTTAAGTCAGTTGACGTTGTTTGCCTCATTTTAATGCAGCAGCGCGATCTCAGCGCCAACATTAGTTTAATTTGCTGTGGCTTGTGTTTAAATTAACTCTCCCTTTCACAAGAACTTTTGGTCAGCAGCGCACACATGAGGCAAGTGTCAATCAGTGGCAGTTGCTGCTGTTGACCCCACAAGTCCCACAGTTAAGTTAAGCTGTCACAAAAATGCACAGCATAAAATTTCACTCCCAACATCTACAATTCCCGACGCCTGGTGTTTGATAATTATGATTAATCTCATTTAAATTAAATGGCTTAATTGTGTGGCGCGCGCGTCTTGTCATTA